AGCGAACGCGCACCCAGGAAGCACCCCTCCGATTGACGAACATCTCACCCGAGAGTGCCTCTTTCCAAGTCAGCCTCCGAGAAGCCATGAACATACGCAACGCCAGCGCAATCGGCTGTGGTGGGAAATGTTCATTCGGGCGGCGCCACGCAAGATTCGCCTTCCAATCTTGTCGTACGACTGCTCGATGTCCACGATGCCGTGCACTGTGACGATTTCGCCTGAACGAGCATCCTAGCAGCCGCATCTGTCGTCGACTTCTGGGCCCCCAAAGCGCAGAAAGGCCTGTTGAGCCGACTCGCCCATTCAGGTACATGGTTTAGTTGAGTTTTGGCGTTTTGGCCCGCGACGGATCTATCGAGGTAAGATGTGCAATCGGGCAGCATCCTCCCGACGGTTCACTTAGAAAAATGGTTTTGACCCTGGAAAACAATTTCGGCCACATGCCCCACATGTTGCACCAGAGCGAGACGTCGCAAAGGACGGTTAGAGCGCAGTGTTGAACACCGACGCCCAACGTCACGGCCGAGAGAGGTCCGTTCCGACGGCCGTCTGACTCGGAAAACGTTCAGGAGCATATCCGAATGTCTGAATAGTGAGCGGGGGAAGCAAAGGTCCTGACCCAAGAAAATGTTCCATGTCCCCGAGAAGCCCGTCAGAGACCTCATCCAAAATATCACCAGCAGCGTAATCTTCTGGCCCATCCAGGCCACTCCAAGTGTGTCCCGAAGAGTCACGCTGGGCCTCAACGAGGTCTCCTGGGTGGCTTGAGGAATATGTGGTTAGGGGTTGGAGACCTGAGCGAGCTGCCACCCACGCGGCTTGGACCGCCTGTGGACGGGTCCTGGCTCACTAGCAAGGCTGGTACGCATTCACCGCACAAAGACTTGCAGCGGGCCTTGCAACACCACCTTTTCTCATGTTCTGCGAGCCGTCCGAGGAAGGTGCCGACAAAGCTACGCAAGCATGTTTTCGTGAGATGCCACAGGTTGTGCACCGCTTTATCTACAATGTGCGTGATGGTTTGCAGCACGTGATGTGGCATAGCGCGCCTGAGCCTACCATCTCGCCCACGCGCGCCCAGCACGCGCGCGCCGTCCTGATGAACCAGCTTGCGCAATCTTGACGTCCAACACCCTGAGTTGGAGTGTGCGTACAGCGCGCGAGTGCTCTGTGCCTGCGGGTTGGTAGCTGGAGCACCTCCCGCCGTATAATGCTTGTATTCTGCACCAGCCGCTCGCCCTCGAAAACGTTGGGGGGCCTCCAGCTCAAAAAGAGGTAAACACGTAGCTTTTGCTCCGGCACAGGTCGTGTGGCAAGTGCTGTCAAGTCTGGTCCTCTGCGTGCCCGCGGTGCCAAACCCGTTGGAGGCGTCATCCTTCATGATACCATGCCATGAAAAGTCTGGCGCTCATCGGCTCACTTGAAGTCGTATCTCCTCTTTCTCCAAACGTCCCGCACGCCCGTGAGATTATCCGCATCCCCTCAAGGGGGCTTTGGAAAGAGCGCCACAATATGGTGACGTTAACCCGGCCGGGCAACGAGAGGAGAAGGAGGAGGAGGGGGGAGGGCCCCGAAGAGTCCCACGATGGCAGGGGCTCGCCTGGCCAGCACCCGCAGCCTGGCGGCTATGGCTGCTCGAAGACGGCGGCAGCTCCTGTGACCTCCAGCCCTGCAGTGGTGAAAGGCTGTGGTCATGAAATCAGTGGCCACGGCATGCGAAAGAACCGATTCGGTCGAATCGGCGACCCACCTATCTGGAAGGATTCCTGTAAGAGGGTCCAGGCCCCAGGAAGGAGGGAGAGCAGGAAGGAGGGGACAGAACCGCGAAGAGGAGGAGGGGGAGGAGGAGGAGGACAAGTGAAACACAAAGGGGTATTAGGAAGCAAGGATCACCTGCCCCGCAGGAGAACCAGGCCAGATCCACTAACTAAGAACTGGGAGAGCCCGGGCACCCAGGCAACGAGGAGGGGACGGAGGAAGAGGAACGCAAAGGAGGGGGCCTGCAAGAGAGCGGCTCACGCCATCGCCATCATACTGTCGTACCCCGGCACCGGTATCAAGATCTCCCTGCCCATCTTGCTGGTGCTACGGCTGATGAAGACAATCGGAACCACGATGAAGATTGTTAGTAGCCCTCCCCATGCAGGGTGGAGGCTGCAAGGTGACGGGCACGGGTAGTGGTACCGGTGCGCCATGGGCCCAGCAGCGCAACTCCCTGCGCCAGGGTCGTGCATTGAATTCATCCGTTGGGAGGTCGGAGTCGGTGGGGTAGGAGCTGGAGTCGGGGCCAGCGTCGGAGCAGGAGTCGGAGCTGGAATGGAGGTGCGACTGCTCGGCACGGGTGGTGGTAGTGGAAGGGGCGCCGCTGGCGTCTGCGCTGGCGTAGGCGCCGGTGGTGGCGCTGGCGTCGTAGCTGGGGAGTCGGAACTGGGGATAGAAGTGGTGGGTGGCGCACACGTTATCCCATGTGGTGGGATAAGACGCTGGGAGCAGGGTTTATTCGATCGCGGGTCAAGTGCAGGTCTAGGCGCTGGCATCGACGTCGGGTTAGGCGTTGGCATTGGTGCTGGCGTCGGTGTTGGCGTCTGTGCTGGTGTAGACGTTGGCGTCGGTGAAGGCATAGGCACAAGCGTGGGTGCTGGTGTCGGTGCTGGCGTCTGCGCTGGCGTAGTCGCCGGTGGTGGTGCGGGCGTCGGAGCTGGGCGTCGGAGCTAGAGAGTCGGAGCTGGGGAGTCGGAGCTGAAGGTAGAAGTGATGGGTTGCGCACACATTATCCCATGGGGTGGGATAAGACGCCGGGGGCAGGGTTCATCCGACCGCGGGTCGAATGCACGTCTGGCGTCGGTGCCAGTGTAGGCGTTGGCGTCGGTGAAGGCATATGCACAAGCGTGGGTGCTGGTGTCGGTGCTGGCGTCTGCTCTGGCGTAGGCACTGGCGGTGGTGCTGGCGTCGGAGATGGGGAGTCGGAGCTGGGGATAGAAGTGATGGGTGGCGCACTCGTTATCCCACGGGGTGGGATGACACCCTGGGAGCAAGGTTTATTCGACCGCGGGTCGAATGCAGGTCGAGGCGTTGGCAATGGTGTCGGGTTAGGCGTCGGCGTCGGTGCTGGCGTCGGTGCTGGCGTCGGTGCTGGTGTAGGCGTTGGCGTCGGTGAAGGCACATGCACAAGCATGGGTGCTGGTGTCGGTGCTGGTGTCTGCACTGGCGGAGGCGCCCGCGGTGGTGCTGGCGTCGGAGCTGGACGTCGGAGTTGGGGGGTCGGAGTTGGGGATAGAAGGGGTGGGTGGCGCACCCATTATCCCACGGGGTGGGATAAGACTCCAGGGGCAGGGTTCATTCGACCGCGGGTCGAATGCAGGTGTAGGCGGCATTGGTGTCCGGTTCGGCGTCGGCGTAGGGGTTGGTGTCGGTGCTGACGCATGAATCCTCTGGTGCGTTGTCGTCAGATGGCCGGCGTTGGTGCTGGAGTCGGTGCTGACGTCGGTGCTGGTGTAGGCGCAGGCGTGAGTGCCGGCGTCGCAAGTCCAAGCGCTGGTGTGATGCGGTGCTGGTGTGGTGCTGGTGCTGATGCGGTGCTGGTGTGGTGCTGGTGTGGGCGTCAACGTCGGTGTCGGCCTTGTTGTTTTGGAGCGGCTTTCCAACATCGGCTTGGTTGTTGGCGTCGGTGCTGGCGTCGGTGCTGGTGCGGGCGCTGGCGTCGGTGCTGGCGTCGAGGCTGGTGTGGGTGCCGGTGGTGGTGTCGGTGTAGGCGCCGGCGTTGTTGCTGGCGTATGGGCTGACGTCGGCGTGGGGGTGTTGGTGCAGCTGCAAGTGGTGCTGTCTGGGGGGGGGAAGAGTTGTTGGGCGCACGTGTGGTGCTGTGCCTGGCGCCCTCCTGTCTGGGGGGGGGTAGGATTTGTCCGCCCACGAATTGTGGTGACTGGCGGATAACTGCCCGAATTTCCGCCCCACCAGCAGGGCGGCCAAGCGAACCCTACTGTGTGGTGCAAGCTTTGTGGTGCAAGCCATCGTATCCCAGCCGCATGACCGATGGAGTGCCCAGCCGTAAATATGTAACACGCTGCCTGGTATTCATGTGTCTGGCGTGGGGATGGCGTTAGTGCCGGTGTATGCGCAGGCGTTGGTGCTGGCGTAGGCGCCGGCGTCGGTGCTGGCCTCGGTGCTGGCGTCAATGCCGGTGTCCGTGCGGCTGTCAGCGATGGCATCGGGGCTGGCGTAGGCGCTGGCCTTGGTGTTGGCGTAGGCGCAGGCGCTGGTGCCTGCGTTGGTGCTGGCGTCGGTACTGGCCTCGGTGCAGGCGTCGGTGCCGGCGTCGATGCTGATGCTATCGATGATGTCGGAGCTGACGTAGGCGTTGGGGCTGGTGCTGGCGTAGGTGCATGTGCTGGCATCGGTGCCAGTGTAAGCGCTGGCGTTGGTGCTGGCGTAATTAGGTGCCGGTGTTGGCGCTGGTGGCAGTGCTGGCGACGGCGCTGGTGTAGGCGCAGGCGTTGGTGCTAGCGTCGGCGCTGGCGTCGGTGCTGGCGTCGGTGCTGGTCGATGGTGCTGGTGTAAGTGTTGGTTTTGATGTTGGAGTCGGTGATAACAACAGTGCTGGTATAGGCGCTGGTGGAGGCGCTGGCGTTGGCGCCGGCGGTGGCGCCGGCGTTGGTGCTGTCGCCGGTGCTGGGCGCTGCGCTGCGACAGAGGACAGGTCGGAGTGTCGAGTTGGTGGAGTCGGTGGCGGTTGGAGGTCGGATCGCTGAGGTTGCGGAGGCTGGAGGTCGGCTGGTGGAGGTGGCAGTGCGAACCCCGAGGGCAATTGCTACTGGAAGTGGTACTGGAATCACGGCACCCGGGGGAGCGGATGGGAGTCGTGCGCAGTCCAGCGCCGGGTAAGGACGCGGGTGGAACGGCCGTGGCCTCGAACACCTTCCCGTACCCATTGTGTCATTGCGTCGTAAAGTGCTGCCGTCGGCAGGGGGGTCTGGGCGTGTCGCTGGTAATTGGTGCACCTGTACGTCGCATAGACCAGAAGGGCGATGGTCGTGAGCATCTCCGTGGTGTTGGCCAAAGGATTTACCAGAAGAAAAGAATGGAGGTTCACGAACAGGTGCGGATCGAGGTGCAAGAACTGCGCAGCAAGCCGCTTCACCACCGGGCACTTCGCGTAATGCTCAATCGCGTCCTGTGTGTGGGGCACTCTGCACAGGAGGCATGGTCCACCATGTTGTTGAAAACGACGGGCCGTCGTCCATCGATTCCACATCGTGCTGAAGACCGCCGACTGTACCCTTGGAGCCACCAACTTGTTCAACTGCTTAAGGTGATGGAGAGCTGCCCGGCCATGCCAATTCTCTGTGCGCTGCCGGACTGGAAACAAGCTAGTGATGTGAGCGTGGTCGGGCATGTTGAGGTACCAGCGTCGGTATTTGTGCCGGATGCGGTGTTCGGCTGGCGGGGCGCGCGCCTGTAAGAGTCGAGCATACACGGTGGCTTGGAAACGAGCGCGGATGCTGCCCCATTCTTTCACGGAGTAAGGAGTGGGACGCGTCGGTGCCATGGAGCGGTATAGCTCGGTGGGTGTCCCCAGAAGCGTCGTCATGTCCGACAATGTGGTGTCCAAGCGTAGGTGGTAGGAGTGCTGGAACCATTGATCCCACATTGCTTTTTCCTGCAGGCGGTCGGTGGTGCCCAAAAGTGATCTGAGGAACCGGGTGCGTCGGTTGAATGTGCCATTGTAGTTTGTGTTGTTGGGGGCGTGCGGGGGAAGGTCGGCAGGGTTAGCGGGGCGCGCGCCGTCGCCCGGGAGGTGGAAGTCCAAGGGAGTGCCTGGTTCCGCGGGGTGGTCGCCGCAGGCTGTGTCCCACAATCGTACTCGTAGTTGTGCTGCTTGGGCGGCAAGCCGGAGACTCCGGAAAGCGCTGGGAAAATTGTACGAATGTTGTAGCCACCATAAATCCTCTGGCGTGGCCCAATTACCGGGGCCGGGAGCGGCTCGTCGTAGACATTGTAACTCCACGGTGAGAGCGTCATCCGTCGGGTCGCTGAGCTGTGCCACGAAGGTCAACACCGAGATCCCAAAGGTATTGTATGCGAGCGCAGCGCAATGAAGTCCCAGCGGGTGGCCTGCCCATAAAGATGCGCGTTGTTTGAACTTTGCCTGCGCGTTTGTTTGAACTTTGAAAAAAAAAGAAAAAAAAAACTTGAAGTCGTATCTCCTCATCCGCACCCCCACCTCATCGACTAGTGCATCAGGCTTGGGCGGGATGACTTGCGGGCCATGAAGTCGCCTTATCTGCTGTGCCCGAGGCCATGTTCCAACTGTGACCTGGATGGGGTAGTGCGTCCGAGGTTTGCCAGAGCCGCGCATCTGCAAGGAACGGCCGCCAGTCCCGCCTGATTCCCCACTCCTTAGCAGAGAGACGAGCGTGACCTGCCGAATGATGGTCCTGAGCGTATGCGACTGCGAGATACCGACAGTTGTCAAACACATCTTGTCTTCCTGGATACCCGCTGCCGTGGAAGATCCATCTTGAAACGATTCTTTTTTGCCGTGCTTCGCAGCACGACGCCAGGGGTTGTATTGTTGAGGCCTGGCCTCAGACCGCGGCTCCGAAGCGCCTCTGTATTTGTAACGATGCTGAGTTCCTGCCAGCACTGATCCATCAGATGATGGCTCCACGTCTGGCAAGGGTCGTTGGCGATGGGATATTGCAGCGAGCCCATTGAAGGCATAACATCGAGAGACTGCACTTCCCCATGAACCAGCCGCGGCATGATAACAACATCCGTGACGCGTCGCGTATCCCTACCAGAACCCATCCCGGACTGCGGCCGGAGAGCCGAGCCGCCATGTGGGCCGCCATAGGGTACATCGTGCAGGACTTCTTCCTGTGGATGGGAGGTGTCGTCCTCGAGGGCTCCGCCCGGGGCGACTGGGCGACCCACACGGGTCCGCCGCCGCGCGTCATCGAGAGCGTGTGGGGCCTGCAGGCGCCCGTCGGCCACGGGGACCCGCTCGGCCTTGCAAAGGACGGCGGTGCGGACGTCGTCGACAGGAGGAGGCGCCCCGAGATCAAGCACGGCCGCATTGCCACGTGGGCCGCCATGGGGTTCAGTGGGACGGATATCTTCCTGTGGCCGGGAGGTGTCGCCTTCGTAGGGCCTGCCGTTACGGGGCTTCCGAGGGGCCTGAGCGCTCCGGGCAAGGTGTCTGGTGCTCCGGGCCCTTCTCATTATTCAAATGCTCTGCAGCTATCGGCTGCCCCACCACCGACGTGGCATCTACACGTGTTGGGTCCTCTCCGGTCTCCGCCTGTTGGGCCCTTCTCTCATTCAAATGCCCGCGGCTATCGGCTGCACCTCCCTCCCCGCCTCTGGGCGCTCGACCCTGCTGTGGTGGCTTTCCGACTGCGTCCGCAACCATGTCGGGCGGCTGCACTGGCAATGTCACTATCTCTGGCGCCACTACTCGCCGACTGCGGCACACGGCGCGTGTTGGGTCCTCGTTCTGGGTTCGCTCCGGGCCCTTCGCTTTATTCTATTGCTCTGCGGCTAGATGCATACAAGTCCAGCGGCTATCGGCTGCTACCCCCCTTTTCCTCGTCGCCACAGCTGCATACAAGTCCAGCGGCTATCGGCTGCTACCCCCCTTTTCCTCGTCGCCACAGCACTTGCCTGAGAGGCGCGGATATCATGGGTCCCGCCTCACGCAGGCAGTGTCAGTCGGGCTTGACCCCTGGGTCGAAGGATTCCCACTGGGCGGCTACGTTCCTGACGGCCCCCCCTGGGATGGGGACTGTTTCACCGCAGTGGCAGGCCGCGGCCTTCGTTCCCGTGCAACCTCCTGGGAGTGAGGTACCCCCCCCACACTGCGCTAGACCCCCACGGCCCCCGTGGGCTCCTAGCCCGCGCGGTCGGCTGAGGTTAACCCCACCCACGGTTTTTGGCCGCGTTGCGGCCCGTGGAGGACCGGGTCGACTGGCTGAAGGCGTCGCCCCATCTGTCCCCGCCTGCAGCGGATGGCTCTGGCCACGTTTTGTGCCACCTCCTGGGTTCGAGGGGCACTACACTGCGCATAGATACCCGCGGCGTCCCGTGGGTGCTTGCTCCTGCGGTCGGCTGAAATAACCCCACCCAGGTTCTTTGCCCGCGTTGAGTGCGGGCCGTGGTGCAGAGGCAACTGGCTGAAGGCCCCCCTCGTGCTTCACCCTTTGAAGTCCAGCTGCATGCTAAGTGGCTTCCCCCCATCGTCGGCGACGGAAGTGATCATCCTTCAGGAGGCCGTGTAAGCACAGGGTGCCATGCGAATGAGTCCACTGCGTTTCTTGACCTTCTGTGCTCTGTTCCGCTTCGTCTCTGTACTCTCCTGTGCTGCGCCCCTCGTTGGTGCCCTTGGTCCGCTGGCATCCGTCCAGTGGTCCTTGCTTGCGTCTTGCCTCTTGCCGCGGGCCGGCGTAGCATCAGCCTGCGCAGTGCCGCTGCCCTGTCTCCCTAACCCGTCAGGTTTCCCCACCGGTGGGTCTGGCCTGTGCTCAGTTGCTGTCCATCCGTGGCAGCTTTTCTGCCGCTGGCATCCGCCCAGTGGTTTTTGCATGGTGATCATCTGGCACTGCGCCCCATTGCCTCACACCGCTCTCTGGACTTCTCCTTGCGGGCCGCAAATCAAAAAAAAAGTATCCCTACCAGCGCCGGGCGCTGCCCTCATCACCGTGGTTTCCTGTGTTTCGGCGCGGCCTGCCCTAGCTTTGCCCGGCTTTCGACTGGCTTCGCGAGCCCGCGGACCAAAAAGTATCCCCACCAGCCCGTCCAGAAACAGATCGCCGGGCGAGTTGCCGTGATCACGGCAGCGTTGAAGCATGCAGTCTGACAACCGCCTTGGACGCGTTTTCTCGGAGGGCTGTTGGAGCCATGTTGGAGATCTCTGAGGGTCCTCTTGGAGCCTCTTGGGGCATTCCTGACGCTTCCCAGGGGTTTTCTTGGGGCCCTCTTGGGCCTCTTTGGGGGGGTCTGGGATGCTTCTTGGGGCCGTCTTGGGCCCCATGGTTTTAGGAGAAGTGGGTAATGAATTCAGGCCGCCCACCTCCCTCGGAGGCTCGCGGCGCCAGCCTTGAACGGGCAGTTTTTGCGGCGGCGACCGTGTGGCCAGGGCGTCCCGCTGCAGGGGTCGTTCGGCCGTCCGCGCCAGGGCGCCCAACTCCGCAAAAGCAGATCCACTGGCACGCACGAGTGATTTGTTCAGGCCCTCTTATGGTGTCGCCGGGCGCTCGCGGGCGCTCGTGAGGCCCACTTGGGGCCCTTGTGGCCCCCTCGTGTGGCTCTCTTGAGCCGCCTTGGGGCCATGTTACCATCGGAAGCGAGCGGGCGAGAAGGCAAACACACATTGATGCCCCTCAGGTGTTTGAAAGATTTTTGCCTTTTGAGTGAGTAGGACCTTGGAGGGCTCGGAGGGCACTTGAAGCCGTCTGTGGACCGCCTTGAGGTCCCTTGGATGCGTGTCGGAGGCTATCTTGAATCACCCTGAGGTATCTTGAGCAATCTTGGAGGCCACCTTGGGTTCTGTGAGGCCTCTTGGAGCCATCTCGGGTCATCGTGGGGGCTCTAACTGCCCGCGCCGCCCCCCACCCCTCCGAGGTCCAGTGAATGGGGGCAGGGGGATGGGTAAACCCTTCCCCTGAGCAGGGGGCGGAGGGAGCTTTGGCGTAGAGAAGGCAAAGACCTTTAAACCACCTGCGCCCAGAAGGCTGGTGGGACTTCGACCAAGCTCAGGTATGCCACGACGTTCCTCTAGCTGTTTCTCCTTTATCATACCCCATCGCATACCACCTGGCCTTGAAGAGGGGCTTATGCCCGACGGTGTGCTTAGAACGTCGTCTGGAGCTCAGTGAAGTGGTTCTTGATGGCGGCGAGTGCAGCTGGTGCATTGCCTGAAGACAGCAGAAGGCGCACTCGGGGCGACCGCTTGCAGCCTCTGCATTGCCTCCACCACGGTAGCTGCCTCTGGACCAGGAGTTTGGCTCTGAGTGCACAAGATTCTTGCCGGAGCCTGTGGCAGCCTCGACCCTGATAGCGTCCAACTGAGTTGTCACGGCACTGAGAACAGCATGAATCGATCTATACTGAGCTTCGAGGGCCGCCACGGATTCAGTGCGAGTATCAATTTCCCGTGCTTTAGAGCTCTGCTTGTCCAGCGCACGACGTAACATATCAGTTGGGGTCCTCCGCGTTCGCTCTGCAGCCTCAGCGACAAAGAGGGTGTGTCGAGCGCTGACGAACAACCCATGCTCACCTCCGTGACCACAGCGTCGCAGAGTAGCAAGCGTTGTGACCTCGTCGTTCATATCGTTGTCTGTGTCCGCGGACGTCCTGCGAGCCCGAAGAATGGATAGTGCTCGATCACGTCCGCCTCTCTCTCGTTCTGGGGGCCCGTTCGGATCAGGGTGCCCGTTCTGATCGTATCCACACATGTATCGCCGCTTACTGCATAACAAACAGCTGGTGCTACCAAATTGACGAGTAGCAGCGCATGCTCATCGTTGGTCCTTCGACTCATTGCCACGTCCCGACTTGGATCCGGAAGCGTGGTGCAAATTAAATCGAGGCTTCTGTGTCCAAGCGGATGATGTGTCTGGCCGAACTTCGTTTTTTGTTTTCAGAAGCCCCCGATGCCAAGCTGGGGATGGTGATCTCGGACGAGGCGTCGGCCATAGAGGTAGAGGAGGAGGAGGAGGAGGAGGAGGAGGAGGAGGAGGAGGAGGAGGAGGCGGAGGGAGGAGGGAGGGGGAGGAGGAGGAGGAGGAGGAGGAGGAGGAGGAGGAGGAGGAGGAGGACGAGAAGGAGGAGAAGGAGGAGGAGAAGAAGAGCAGAGGGGGACCAGGGCAAGGACGAGAACGGGAACATCAACAAGAACACGACATCCAGCATGTGGAGGAGCGTGGAGGACAGAGGCGAGGGGGGTCTCCCTCTGTAGCAGTGGGCTGCCGGATTCTTCCTGCTGCCCGTCGCCGACGGCACGGCCGCGTCCGAAGTGGCCCGCGCCGGCCTCCTCGCGCAGCACGGGGGGCTCTTCGTGGACACGGACGTGCTGCTGCAGGAGACTCGCGCGCGCGGGGGCGGCTGCTGTCGCTCAGGAAAGGGACGGGGGATGGGGGGGGGCGACAAGGGGGGGTCAGAGGACGAAAAGGTTCTGATACCGCTACCCTCGCCTCGTTCTCGCCATCTTGGGCCTCCTTGGAGGCCCTCGTCGCCACCGCCGGATTCGCCCTGAAAGCCTGGTCAGAACGTACCCCAGGAGACACTTGGCATCGCTCGGACGTGTGCATTCTTCCTCGGCGAGCACCATCGAGAAGCATATTGAATCATCTCGCGAACAAGAACGAGCTCACGAAACAGAAACAGGCACGGGTCATGGACGCCCCAGCGATGGCGAGGAGAAAGGTCCGGGGAGCAGCGGCATCGATGCCATTTTGTCTCCCCCGGGGGAGGGGGGGGGAGGATGGGGGCACGTTGGGGGAGGGGCATGGCGGAGCGGGAGGCGCCAGGGCGGCTGCCCCCCCCCCGAGTGGGGGGGGGGGGCGAGGGATGGAGGCGGCGGGGAGGGGCGGGGGGGCCGACGAGGTCAGTTCGTCCCGAGTGCCCCCCCCCCGCCCCTTGCTGCCCCCCCCCTTTCTCGCAGGGCCGCGCTCCGGCGCGGGGGCCCGGCGCGCCTCCCCTCCATCGGCCCCGGCGCGCCGCGAGCTCGCCAGGGCCGAGGCGTTTTGGGAAGCGCGCTCAGCGGAGGAGGAGGAGGAGGAGGAGGAGGAGGAGGAGGAGGAGGAGGAGGAGGGGGAGGAGGAGGCGGGGAAGGAGGAGGCGGGGAAGGAGGAGGAGGAGGAGGAGGAGGAGCCGGAGGAGGAGGAGAGGAAAAGGAGGAGGAAGGAGGAGGCGGGGAAGGAGGAGGAGGAGGAGGAGGAGGAGAGAGGGAGGAGGAGGAGGAGGAGGGAGGAGGAGGAGGAGGAGAGGAGGAGGAGGAGGAGGAGGAGGAGGAGGAGGAGGAGAGAGAAAGAGTCAGTCCTGAACGAGGTCTCCCGCGGGGGGGTCGTCTGGAAGAGCGCCCTTCCAGGCGCGCTCGTCTGGACGAAGCCGTCTGGACGAGCTCGTCCGGATGAGCTTCTAAGCGGACGACCCCGTCCGTCTTTGGGTGAACTCGTCTTCGGACAAAATCGTCCGGGAGAACTTGTCCAGACGGTCTCGTCCGGAGGAACGCGTCTCGGGGGAACTCGTCCAGGTGACACGGGTTCGGACGAAGCGGTAGGCTTCCGAGGGGGTGGAAGAGGACAGGGCCGTCGTCTGGCGGCGGACCCCTCCCAGGGCCGGATGACCGAGCTCGCGAGGCTCATGCAGGACTACGACCTGGTGGCCTTCACGCAGGCGCCGCTTGCCGCTGGCCGCTTGCGCAGGTCACCGCCGCGGAGGACGGGGGTCCTGTGGCGTGGCATCGCTCGTACGCGCACGTGCTTCCCTCGGCGAGGACCATCGAGGAGCATCTTGGCTCATCTTGCGGAGTAAGAGGGCGTACGAAACCGGAGCATGCGCGGGCCATGGATTTCCGAGCGCTGGCGAGTGAGGGACGGCGGTCCCGGAGGTTCTGAGCGGCCAGGAAGCCCGGCGAGGATGAGGAGCTCGCTCGCCCCTGCGGAGCAGTCGGCTGCGCGTAGGAGCGACCCTTCGCTGTGGTGATCGCCTTCGGTGCGGGCCCACAGGGGGCTCCCTCGCAGCACGGGCCTGCGCGCGTGGCTGTGGCCCACCGGGGGGGGCACCCGAAAGCCGCGCACCACCTGCTCCCTCTTCTTGGCATCGCCCGGACGTGTGCATGTTTCCTTCGGCGAGGACCATCGAGGAGCATCCTTGATCATCTGGCGAGAAAAGCACGCACGAAACCGAAACAAGCACAGGGGATGGACGTCCGAGCGATGGCCACTGTTAGCTCGCGAAGGAGCCCGCTTCCCTGCACGACCCCTGTCCTGCCGGGGCCGAGGGGTGGCGGGGCCCTCCGGCCTGGAGGCCGGGCGAGTGGGGAGCGGGAGGCGGAAGGCCTGCTCGGCAAGAGAAGAGGGTGCGGAGCAGCAGCCGTGGATGGCGAAGAGGGAGATTGCGCAGAAACCCAGGGGAACGAACAACATCTCCATCCGCGAGGTCGAGCCACCAGTGTCGGAGGAAAGCACATGTTTCAACTCGGATTGCATCTCACATATTTCGTCTTGGATTGCGCACCATGCGTTGCACCCCGTATGCTTTACTCCTTGGTTCTATCCTGTGAGTTGCGCCCCGCAGAGAGCATCCCATAAGCACGTGCCGCACTCCACAGGCTGCACCGCACAAGTTGCACCCCGCGGGCGCCGCCGCGAGCCCTCCCAGAGAGCCCGCTGTGCATCCGGCATGCAGAGAGATGGGGACGTTCGTGCTCGTGCGTCTGTACAGCGGCCGCCGCACCACCCGCCTGGCGTCAAGTCGGGCACGTCCCTCCACAGGTGGAACTGTCAAAAAGAGTTAACAAAATAGTACGGGGACGATTTGTTTTGGCAATTCTTGCGCATGTCTGGGGCATTCCTCGAGCATGTTCTATGGATCGTCCAAAATCCGCCTGTACAGTCGGGGCCCTGAAGAAGGAGCCCTTTTCGTTGGGGATGGGCTCCGTGTTCCTCAAGTGTTTCAAAGTTTGCGTCAGGTTTTCCTTATGTTCTCGATGGGAAATCGAAGGTTAACTTATGGAAAAAAGGAGCCTCGTTCCTTATTTTGGGTTCCTTAGGTCAGCGCCCCGACTGTAGGGGGACATACCCGACCTGAGCCTGGCGCTCACGCCTGACCGACTCCGCCGCGTCGCTGCGCGCGCGGCCGCGACGCCGCAAGCAGAGACGTGCGGCGGGCCCTGCGCTCGTGTGCGGGGCTCGGACGGCCAGGAGAGGGGGAGGGGGAGGAGGAGGGGGGGGAGGAGGAGGAGGAGGAGGAGGAGGAGGAGGAGGAGGAGGAGGAGGAGGAGGAGGAGGAGGAGGAGGAGGAGGAGGCGGAGGAGGAGAGGAGGAGGAGGAGGAGGAGGATGGAGCGCGTGCCCGGCGTGCTGCCTGGCGCGCGAATGCTCTCCTGTGGCAGCGGCGCCGCGGGGCGGGTGCCTCTCGGACGCTGGGCCTTGTGCGTGGCGTGGCCTTGGCCTCGCCTCTTCCCGTCCCGGCCCCTGCGGGCGTGTTGGCGTTGCCGGGGGCCTCCCCCCACACTCACAGCCAGGGGAGTAACATGACAACCAAGAGCAACACGGGAATGCCAGCAAGGAAGAGGGGGAGAGGGAGAGAGAGAGAGAGAGAGAGAGGGAGAGAGAGAGAGAGGGAGAGAGAGGGAGAGAGAGAGAGAGGCTGCGCCCCAGCGGCAGGGCCTCGTCCCTCCCGTTGCGGCGCCGAGGGTGGTGCGAGAGAGAGAGAGAGAAAGGGAGAGAGACGGGCAGGGAACTGGGACCGAGGCGTGGGAGCCGAGAGCCGAGGGCGCGGAGTCGGGGAGAGTGGGAGAGGGAGAGAGGCAGGGAGAGGAGCGATGGGAGGCGAGCGGGGAGGGGTGGAGGAGGGGCAGCGTGGTGGAGGAAGAGTGGGGGCTTGGCCAGAGGCTCCCCGCGCCGCTCTGGCGCCGCCCGCAGGGAGCGCAGAGGTGCGCGAGGGGCGAGCTCTCCACGAGCTTGCTCGCGAGCATGAGGGCCAACCCCATCGCCGTCGCGTGGTACGAAGCCGCCGCTTCGGTGCTCAAGAGGCCCCATTCGCCCGAACTCCGCCTCTGCTCGGCTCGGGCGGGGGAGGGGCGAGAGGGACAGGGAGGAGGAGAAGGAGGAGGAGGAGGAGGAAGCTGAGCGGCAGCAGGAGGAGGAGTTCGAGGAGGAGAAGCGCGACAAGTCGGAGGAGGAGGAGGAGGAGGAGGAGGAGGAGGAGGAAGAGGGTAATAATACCAGGACGAGGTGATGATGATGATAATGACGATGATGATGATGATGATGATGATGATGATGATGATGATGATGATGATGATGATGATGATGATGATGATGATGAGGATGAGGATGAGGATGAGGATGAGGATGCTGTTGATGATGAGGATGATGGTGATGGTGATGATGCTGATTATGATGATCTTATAAGAATGAGAGTGCTGATACTGCCGATGATGATAATGATAATAATGGTGATGATGCTGCTGCTGATGATCATGATGATGCTGCTGCTGATGATGATGATGATGATGCTGATGATGATGATGCTGATGATGGTGGTGACGACGATGATGATGATGCTGATGATGAGGATGCTGTTGATGATGAGGATGATGGTGATGGTGAGGATGCTGATTATGATGATCCTATAAGAATGAGAATCCTGATACTGCTGATGATGGTAATGATAATAATGATGATGAGGATGCTGCTGTTGATGATGATGCTGATGATGATGCTGATGATGATGATGATGATGGTGGTGGTGGTGATGATGATGATGACGACGACGACGATGATGATGATGATGGTGATGATGATGATGCTGATGATGATGATGATAGTGGTGGTGGTGATGATGATGATGCTGCTGATGATGCTGCTGCTGATGATGATGAGGAGGAGGAGGAGGAGGAGGAGGAGGAGGCGGAGGCGGAGGAGGAGGGGGGCGAGAGGGCCAACAGGGAGGGCCTCGTGGCGAGGCGACAGGCAGCTGTCGCGCGCGCGACTCGGGTGTTTTTACTTCAGCGTCATGGGGGGTAGGGAGGAGGGGTGACAGGGCGGCGCGCAAGAGTTCTGGCACCCTCAGAGCGCAACCCGGTTTGACGGACTGGTCCCTGGGGCAAGGTGCCAGGGTCTAGGAGCCGCTTCCTTCGTGGTGTTGCCCCCTCCGTTGCCCTCCCTGGGCCAACCCTAGCGAAGCGCGCTGGACTTTCGGTAGGTTCACGCGGCGATGGCGCGCCGGTGATGCCAGCGAAGGCGTTCAAGTTTGAATTTTGCGACGCGGAAGTGCCGAGGGACACCTGTGACGCCACTGGACCCTAAGGAATGCAGCACTGAACACGATCGGGGCCGCGATCGATTCAGGGTTGAAGGATCGACACGGTTCCAAAACCTTTGCGCGCGCCGACGCCGCACGAGCCTACCGTTAAGTCGGGGCTGTCCCTCTACAGGAGGAAGATTCCCAAATAGTCCAAACATAGTCTGGGGACGATTTCTTTATCATTGATTTTTTTATGATCTTTTTTTCTTTGTCGTCCAAAATCCGCCTGTAAGAGGGACGACACGCCCCAGTTAGCCTGCCGTGCCAGAGGGGGGCGCGCGGGTGGTGCCATGGAGCGAGCGGAGCCGTCGTGGGCCGGCCGCTGCCCCTCGCCCGCCAGCCACGCTTACGCGCCGGTCGTGGGAAGCATGATTGGCCTGTTTTCAACCACCACCACCACCATGAGCTCCCTTGGGATTTCCCCTCTCCTCCTCCTCCTCCTCGTCGTCCTCCTCCTCCTCCTCCTGCTGCTCCTCCTCCTCCTCCTCCTCCTCGTCCTCCCCCGCCTCCTCCTCATCCTCCCCCTTCTCCTTCTCCTCCTCCTCCTCCTCCTCCTCCTTCTTTCCTCCACCTCCTCCTTCTCCTCCTCCTCTCCTCCTCTCGTCTCCTCGCCCTCGTCCGCCACCTCCTCCTCGTCCTCCTCCTCCTCCTCCTCCTCCCTCTCCTCCTCCTTCCTCCTCCTCCACCTCCTCCCTCCTCCTCCTCCTCTTCGTCCTCCTCCTCCTCCTCCTCCTCCTCCTCCTCGTCCTCCAGCTCCTCCCCCCCTCCAACTTATGGTGGTGGTGGTGGTGGTAAGGCGGCCCATCAAAGCAAACTCCCAGATCCCGATGTACTTTACGTGCGTTCGCACTTCAAGGTCCAGGACCCCCAGGTCGGGTCGGAGTAGGTAGGGTCAGAGGATCGCGCCGCGTCGCCGATGCATCGGCGATGCGGCTCGATGTGGAGCCCGATCTTCTCCACGCGGACGTCGCCGCTGAATCGCCGACGTCGCAGATGTATCGCCGATGCATCGCTGATGCGTCGAGATCCTCCGACCCCACCTACTCCGACACCACCTGGGAGGCCTCTACAAGGATTGCATGTGTCTGCTGCTTGTTATTGTTATTTGGGCGGGCCCGCACCCAATCGATTATATCCGCCCTCCTACTTTGTATGATTCGACCTACCTCTTCCGACTGGCGGGTGCCCAGCGAGGAATACAATTCTCCCCTCTCCCCCTTCCCCCTCTGAGCCCTAACCCAATTCTCCCCTCTCCCCCGCGGACGCCTCTGGGGCAACCCGCCCCCATCCGCGTATATCTTTTTTTTGCCCACACGACCTCTCTTGTTCTGCAGTCCCGTTTTCCAGCACCTCCAACTGGTGATGCCGCCGTGCGCGGGCCTCGCTTTCGGCTCGGCGCTCTGCTGCCGTCGTGCGGACAGGTGCGCTCGCCCCAGCCCTGGGCCCCTCTCTCCGCATCCGAGCCCCTCTTCCGCCTCCCCCTGGTCGTCCTGCCCCCCTCCCGCTCCTTCCCCTCCAGTTCCCGGCGGTGGTGGTGCTGCCGCTGCTGCTCCTGCTCCTGCTGCTGCTGCTGCTGCTGCTGCTGCTGTTCGTCCTCGTCCTCCTCCTTCCACATCCTCCGCATTCGTCTCCTGCTCATCGTCCTGCTCACCCGCCACCTCCTCCTCCTCCTCCTCCTCCTCCTCCTCCTCCTCCTCCTCCTCCTCCTCTTCCTATGCACGGAGCTCCCCTTTTTCCGATTGCGTATAATACGCTGGGATCTTCTTGACAGGATTCCAGGTCGGCCATGACACGCGACTGCGGATAGGGACACAAGCGCAATGGGAAGTGGTGGGAGGTAGAAGTAGGATGTCGGATGTGGCGCGAGCGCAGCTGGCTTGTCCTCCCCCTTTTTCTCTTCCTCCCTCCCCGTACCCCCCCCATCCCCTCCCCATCCCCCCTCTCGCCCCTCCTTTCTTCCTTTCCCCCCATCCCCCTTTCACCCCTCCCTCTTCCCCTCCTCCCCTCCCATCCTCCTCCTCGTCCTCATCTTCCTCCTCCCCGCCATCCTCCTCCTCCTCCTCCTCTGCCAGTGCCTCTTCTGTCCCCCACTCCGACCGCTCTGTCACGTTAGTGCCGACGCCAGCACGATCAGCAGCGACGCCCGAACCGACTTCAGGCCCGTCGTCCTCGCTGCCACGTGCTGCGAGAGGCGACAGCGTCCAGTCCGCAGTGCCGTTTGCCGCCTGGGGGAGGACCTCCTGCGACTTCGCCCGTTGCCCGACGCCATGGCCTGCGATCACGGAGCCTGCAGCCTACCACAGCGGCGGGCAGCACCCGCTCGAGGTGAGCGCCCTCCCTTGTGTGCGAGCTGGGCCGCGCGAGTGGAGGCGGCGCTGGCACGGCATCGCCCTGCTGCGGCGCCGCAGCTGGGCCTCGCGCGTGGCGAAGGGGGCCCGGCCTCGCCGAGCCCGCCGTGCAGCAGCAGGGAGCCGCAGTGGCGCCGTCGGTGCAGGGCGCGGCCGCCAGCCGGTGGGCGCCCAGGGCCACACGGTTGCCCGGCGGCCTGCCAAGGTCCGCAGCCCCGAGCAGCCTCCAGACGACGTCAGGCTCGCAGCCGTGTGCCGGGAGCTCGCCTGCGCAGCGCCGGCGACGGCGCGCGGGGCGCTCGTGGCACGGGGCGGCCGCCGCGCTGCTTCGCCAGACGACGCGCTCGATGTTGGAAGCAGTTCCGGCGCCGGCTGCACTCGGTGGCACGGGCGCCCCTGGCGGCGATCGAGCAGCTGGCTACGACGGCCCTTCGCGGGGCCCGCAGCCGTGCCTCGGGCGCCGCCCTTCGGGATTTTTCAACGCCGGATATTGCGCAGGATGGCTCCAGCGCCGTGCTCGTTCGATCCCTCGAGCGTGCCCCCGCGGAAGCCGATGAGGAATATCGCCACGACGGCCACTTCGTCCATCCGCGTGACCTGGTGGACGACAAGGCGACTGAGTGGCAGAAGCTGTGGGCGCCTGGACCCATCGACTACGGGGAGCTCGGCGCCTTCGCCCAGGAGTTGAGGGAGCACCTTTGCTACGGCGACCTGCCGCCGCTCGACCTCGACACCTTGGACGCCGCACTCCGCCGCATGAGACCTGCCGCTGGTCGCGGAGTGGATCAGCTGCGCCCCACGGATGTCGAGCGCCCCCTGGACGAGGCTCTTCTTGATTTGCTCGGCATCTTAGCCAGCGCCGAAGCCTGCGGCACTTGGCCCTGGCGGCTGTTAGCTGTGGTCGGGCGCCTGCTAAGCAAGAAGAGCGGCGGCGAGCGGGTCATCAGCTTCCTGGGCATGGTCGCTCGCATCTGGAGCATGGGGCGCGAGCGCAACGTGCAGGCTTGGGCCACAGACGCGTGCCCCGCCTGGGTCGCCTCGGACGAAAGCAACTCGGCGTCGTTCGAGACCTTCGTCCGCGCGAGCGGCGCGGAGGCGCGCAGTGTGCTGGGCTTCTTACGCTCGCGCGCTGCTGGACAGCAAGTCTGTCTGCGACTCCATGAGTTGGGCCAAGCCGGGGCGTGCCGCGCCGCAGCTGGGCTTCCCGCCCGCCATCTTGGCCCTGGAGTTGCAGCAGGGCCTCGCTGCCGCGGATCCTGATCCGCGACGGCGCCGCCTCCTTGGTCTTTCAGCCCACGCGGTCCATCGTGCAGGGCTTGCGGTCGGGCGCGAGGTTCGCATCCACCGCCACGATCGCACCGTCGTCCGCGAAGCC